CATAAGCATCGTCTCTCGTGTAATTCATATCTGGCAGTGGAATAATTCCGCTACTGGAATTATTGCCTAAACAGCATGCCAAACACTTTCCCAGATGGGTACCTAATGGTCTTGTGGTGGTTGTCTAAAATTAAAACAGTGACTGTTTTTCGTTATATCAGGGGTGGCATTTTCTTCAAATTATTTACTGATAATTGGCCAGTTAATAGTTTATTTATATCAAATGGCTGGCTTTATGATATTTATCATTAGCCCTTAGTTGACTTCAGGCTTCACAGAGGGGAAGGAACATCAAATTGAAAAAAAGTCGAGAGGGGAGGGGGAACAGAAGTGTTTCAAAGATGAAAGAGACAAACACAAAGGTAGAACAAAGGTGAGGTGAGTACTGTAGAAATAGTCGAATATGGCATAGAGTGAGGTGATGGTAGTTTGAAATGAGAAGTCAACTGCCAGTTAATAGACTTTTTTGCCGTATGAATATACGTTGTCCAGGGTGCACCACGTGGAGGTAAGTCTATCGCACACACCAGCCAGTTAATAGTAATAGTAATATTTTCTACTCGTTCATGCTTTATAGGTGCATCGAGTATATCGATCAACGGGAGCAAGCTTCGGCAAGGCTCGTGATGAATTAACCACTACCTTGGCAACCAACCCCCTGGTACGCAATGTTGGTATGACTGCAGCTCGGGAGGCTTTTGTTGGACCGCAATTCGGTTCTACTGATGCTCGTTATTAAGTCTATCGCTTAATGCCATTACCCTCCACCACAATTCCATATTCATTGTCTTCTCATTGTTGTTCACCCATTGTGTCCTTGTCATGATTTTGAGTTCGGCGGTCAGTATTACTCTGCCACCTTGTGCATAAACTCGACTTGTGTCATTCTGTGAATTACACAGCATCCCTTACTTCGTCTTTTAGTAGACTTCTCCACAATCTAATTTATCTTGATTTTCTGTCTGCATTAAAGTCTAAATTACTAACACCGATTGTTATTTGCTCTTCTTTCGTAATGTGGATTATGAGTATTAGAGTTGAGTAAATTAGCTATTAGGAGCATTAATACGAAGGTAAATAGAATCAGAGGACTTAGAAGATAGTCATTAATGCTATAAAGAGGTCCAATCACACTTAGGTTTGGCCATAGGATCACTAAATCTATAGGATAGGTATGTGGTTAACATGGTCTTCAGCCAACTGTGGTGTTGATGAATAGCAGGCACAGACAATGCTCAAATTACTGGCTATCACTAACATCCACTGAGTGATCTCCAGCTGTTCCGGAAATCTGTTAAGGCTTGCACTCATTTATTGAGCAGAAGAGCGAGTAGTATTTGATAGCTGATAATAAAAGACATCTCTCACAAAGGCGTGCCACTTTAATTTTGTGAATGACGGTGTATCTTTATTGGCAGTCCCATATTAGCCATTGAATGTCATTCAACTTTCTATACTTCTATCATTTCTATTTCTCAGCAAGAACACGTGTTCGTAGTTTATTAATAAATTGCCTCATTTGTTAGTCTGTCATTTTAAACAACGAAGTGTAAATCTACTACAAGACTTATCAAGTCACAAATAGGCAAATATTATTGGATAGGAAGTGATAACTTTTATTATTAGATAAAAATATGCTAATTATTGCTATTGAATTTCAAGGTATTTAGATATCTGGATGAAAATGTTAAGGACCTGATTCAAATAAGCATATTTCTGTGGGTTGGTAAGTCAGTTTAAACGCGATGAAAGGATCAAAGTTGGAGGACAAGGTGTGTCTTAAGAGGTGTATTTCCGCTTTAGGAGTTTGTAGGCCTCATCTCGATTACCTTTGGCCTGAATGAGTGCCTCGACAGCATCAGTTAAAGAAAATTGATACACACTTATAAATAATCGTAGGTTAGCCTCCACAGTATTTCGTTCACATCCACAGTGGGCCGATATCCTTTCAACTGCATTATTAAATTCGTTTCTATGAAACGAAAAAGCAATCAATTTAAATATTGTGCATTCAAAAATATTTTTTGTTACACAAAGCTTACTTGTATGGTCGCCAAGCAGCAAAAGGACTTTCGTCATATACTTCACCTGAAAATGAGCAATTACCATGATCGTAAGACGGGATCAGAATACTCGGATATTTTCCAGTAAAGTAAAGACCTACCCACTGAACGATAATGGCCATCGCTTCCATGATATTAAGATGTACATTAAAATGAATTACTTTGTTTAATAATTTCACAATTTGTTATTGGTAAGCAACTTACTCCTCCGTTGGTTGTCCGGGAGGGCCACTTGTTGACTAAAGTTTTTAGAATGTGGTTGATGGAGGAAATGGAACCTACCCTTGCTGAAGTTGCTGGTGGCTGGTTTTTTGCTACAGTTAAAAAATGACTTTAAGCCATACTTCATAAAAATGGCCACCAGCTTTTGAATTGTTGATACGATCCACTTACCATTCCCGAAATTGTTTGCATTAAGGCTATGGAGATAAGAGGTCATTTCATAAACAGGGGAAAATTATTACTTCTTTAAGAGGTTCTTTTTTGCTTACCCTGAGGGGTAAATATTCTCCCCGATTCTCACTTAAAACGAAAAAAGTGCGGTTTCAACTGAAATCAAGTGACTTGAATGGAGGAGTTTATTTCACATTAGACGATCTACCAGTTTTGTAATTAAAATGGTGACACACTTTTATGGAAGCATAGTAATATATATTGACAAACCACTTGTGCTATAAATCGAGTGCCCAGTGTTTGAGAGCCGTTGAGAAGTTTTCCTGCATGTAGATAATTGACCCTACTGCGTTGCTTAACGGAGAATTTTAGATCGGCAGCGGTGTTTATAAAGAGTGCTTCCTATTCCTTTGAAACTTTAAGCGAATTGGCTTGGATGAGCCACTAATGAGGTTCCACAATCTTTGCGATCTACTCTTCACTAACCACTAGACTATTCTACGATTTACTTCCACAAAATCATAAATTCATTTCTCCTTAATGAGGCCGGTGAGTTTCTCTCTCACCATCTTCATAGATGCATAAACTTGATAGAATTATTAGCGTTTGCTTT